AAGTTATCCTAAAAATTGAAATCTACATCCTAAAGCAAGAAAAAAAGGCTAAAAAGAATATATAAAGTGAGGATAAGCCTTATCAAAAATTGTTTTTAATAGATTCTTTTTAAATTTAGAACTTCACTACTCTACTAAGCTTACTAATATTTAGGATGTATGAGAAAATCTTTTTAAATTGAGTGTTTAAATTATTTTTTTCTACCATCTAATATATTATGTTTAACAAGTGTTCATTTATTTTTGAAGTAAATAGGAAAGCAGGCTTTCTTGGTTAGCTAAAAGGATTCATATAGCCTAGAGCTGGACTTATTTATTAGAGTTATCCTACTTTTACACCATGAATTTGATGATGCATAATTGTTGATAGTTTCTATGAACCCATCCCTCAAATTAACTAACGTGATATTTAAATTGTAGTGTTACTTGAGAATAAATAACCTTTAAGTTTGGAGGATTTTGATATGTAGTAAAGAATGCATAAATTTCTTTATGTTTTTGTACTTTTTTATGGATGATATCACACTTTAAAGAAAGATATTTTTATTCTTTCTTACTGGTGTAATAGTTATTAAAAGTGGATAAAAGTGGAGGATACATGGAGTAAAGTGGTGGAGACTTAGAGCAAAGGATATCACAAGAGACTTGCCTTGACAACCCGAGAGACTGGTGCCTAGACGCTAGCTATTAGGTGTATAGGAACCACCCTACAAGCGTATAGGCACCAAAATCTTGGGAGCCTAGGTGCCCGTACATGACTTGGTAGACAGAGAGATTGGCGTCTAGCTGTCAGCAACTATCTGTGGAGTTTTGAGAGGTTCAAGCACACAGCTTGGGGAGTTACTCAAACAAAAGGAGGGCTTTATTATGCTATGTTTTAAAGTCTAAATGAGAGTTTTGGAGAGGATAAGAAAGAGGTTTTCAATAGGTTTGTTGTAGGATTGAGTAAGATAGTTTATGTGAGGGAATTGTAGAGGACTTCAGTTCTATTGTGAGGAGAATATTCAAAAGAACAACAAGGAGTTCAGAGATCCTTAGTGGAGCATTTTCAGAGCTTTATAAGGGAGGGAAAGTTATGTGTTATGGTTTCTACTGATTGCATTTCCTTGTGTACAAATAGGTAGTGGATTCTTTTTATTTCAATGAAGCATTGTGATATGTTCTTTAAGCTTTCTAAGTAATTCTCTTAATCTTTCTTTGTGATGTTTGAGTAGGATTTGTAAGAGTAAGAAGTTTTTAGTAAAATTAGTTTTTAAATATTGAATGAGATGAGTAACCGTCTGAATTTCATTTACTTTTTATTATGTCTAAGTGAATCATTAAAATATGTTGTGATGCATAATGACTCGAGAGAGTTATGATGGAATCAACAAGGTTAGTCATATTGAACTATAGAGTATGGTGAAAGTACTTTGTATGGAGATACAAATGCTAGGAAAATAGTCTTTGATGGGTTCAAGTTGGGAATTAAGGAATTAAAGCCAATTTAACAAAACTTTTGTATGCACTCGAGAGAGGGTAAAGAAGAGAATTGCTCATATTTGTCACTAGTTACATTCACAATTGGCGCTTTACATTTTATATGCTTCACTCAATTCATTACAAGGGAGGGTAACTTTATAACTTGATATTCATCAACTAAAATAAGATAAGTAGGATTTCTATAAGGTTTAACATTTAAAATAGTTTGCAATTCAGTAGGAGCAGTTTGTATAACCTTTACTTAATTTCAATTCCAAGCTAAGAACTAAATATAGTAGGCTAGAACTTCTCTAAATTCTAATTCCCTCATTCCTTATGGGATCGACATTCTGGGCTCAAAAATCTGATATTAATGATACGTCATGTACACTTGTGTGAGCCTCTAGAGTGTGGGTGTACCTGGAAGTGAGTATCAACAACCTGATAGAGATAAAGAAGTATCACACATTTACTCCCTATTGAGGGCACTCTTGAAGAAATGAATGGGATGCTCCTCTGCCTCAACCAACCAGCTATTTTTGGCTCCCTTGATATTGGGTATGTAAGAATTCATTGTAATTAGGGCCCAAATTCATGAAGTTTATGAACTGGTCCCAGTATTCCCAGTCAAGTTGTATTTTTCATTGATCGTCTTCCTATCAAACAGTATCTAATGACCATTAACATACACCCTATTGTCTGTTAGTTCCCTGACATTTGAAATGAATTCACATTTGAAAGAAATGATGAAGGTTAGTGGGATCTTGCATAAAATCCACCAAAGCCCTGCTCATGAAGATTGTAGTAATGCAGTCCCCATGCTAAAAAATGCCCTGCTCTAAGATGAAATTCTGATAGCAGTGGGATTTTGCATATTTAAGCTCAGCCTTCTAAGTGATAAATTAAGCTACATCATACTCTTCTTCTGTCAGCAAGGGTGACCTATGTCATCTACTCAAAGGCATCTTCATAAGAGAAGGGGAAGATATCTAAGGAAGTGAGAAAATAAACTAAGGCTTTGCCATAAAAAAATTAGGCATACATAAATCATTAACCTTATTCCCATATTTATAAATAATTTGGTGTCGTGGTTCCTAGCATGGCTTCTTGGCTATATTCAAAAATATTAACTCATTCATTTGGGGCCATGAATATTTCTTGGTAAGGCACCACATCGCTGCCATTGAGATCGGGGCACCTCGGAGCTCGAAGAGTTGGGTCATCAACACCTACACTGAATTGTGGTAAAAGAATGTTGTAGCATATAATTCATGCATCACATGCTCATGAAGGACATGATTCTACCATAAAGGTTGTGGCGCTAGACTACCTTCTACTATTTGAACTTTCAAGCTCGGGTGACCGGCTGTGGTCATGCAAGCCCAATTATGGCATGAAAAGGCAGGCCAGGCTTAAGAAAAAAACACAAATGATGTCAAAAAAAGACTAATGTGTCCTTATTGTCACAATGCGCTTGTTGACAAGTTCTGGCAACGGTTAATAGGGATGCCTCAGTCTCTATTTTTTTATGTCCAAGCTTTTGACTAAACTGGAGTAAGTATCCCACTAAGATAAGTTTTGTACTATCCACTCAAGGAAAGTGTGACATAGGGGAATCTTGCTAATAAGCCTAACTAATTTCAAGTTTTCTTCTTAAAAAGAGAAAATTTGGAGGAAGGAAATTGAGCTTTAACTCTAAATCCCAATCAAGAAGATCAGTCCAAAGATTGGATGTTGAGCTTGAACTCTCAGTATTGGTTAACAAGGACCAAAAAAAATAAATTGTGCTTTATTTCCCAACTCGATTTGAAAGACTATTTGAAAGATGTCAGGCTCTAACTCGCAAATTTGATTACCAAAACTAATTGAAAAAGTGTCGAGCTCTAACTCCTAAACTCACTTAGTGAAGATAATCGAAAAGATGTCAGATTCTAACTCCCAAACTCGATTAGTAAGACTAATAGAAAAGTGACAGACTCTAACTCCCAAACTTGATTAACAAAAGTAATCAAAGAAGTGTTGATCTCTAACTTTCAAACTCAATTAACAAAGCTAATAAAAAAGATGACTCTAACTTCCGAACTCGATTAGAGAAACCAATCAAAAAATTGTCAAGCTCTAACTCCTAAGCTCAATTGGTGAAGCCAACCGGAAAGATGTCAGGCTTTAACTCCCAAATTTGATAGTGGGACTAATCGAAAGGAGTGTTGGGCTTTAACTCCCAAACTCAATTAGTGAATCCAATCAGAAGATGTAGGGATCTAGCTCCCAAACTTGATTAGAGAAACTAATCAGAAAATATTTGGGCTCTAACTCCCATACTTGATTAGCGAAGCCAACCAAAAAGATGTTGGACTCAAACTTTTAAACTTGATTAGCAAAACTATTTAAAAAATTGTCGGACTCTAACTCACAAATTGGTTAAGAAGACTAATCAGAAAAGAAGGAGCTGGTCGTATACTCTGGAAAAATGATTAAAGAGACTTAATGGAAAAAATGGTGATAGGATTAAGCCCTTGATCTTGGTTGACAAATGCAAACAAAAAATGTCGGGCTATAACCTCCAAACTTTATTAGAGAGACTAACTGGAAAAAGGTGATGGGCTTAAACTCCCCATCTTGATAGGAGAAACTTATCAGACAAAGGTGTAGTGGCAGATGTATCCATAAGAATAAGCAAAGAAAAGAGAGTTCAATCAGACAACCAGCTCTGATACCATGAAGGAGTTAACATTAATATAGATTGGGAAAAGTTGTATATTCTACTAGGAGGATACTACATTTTCTTTCAACATTTTGACACTTTAGGCTTGATTAAATAGGTTTGTAAAAACGTATATAAGTAACTGTGTATATTAAATCTTAGGGGATATAGTGGTGTGGCTATTGCAGATGATTCGATGCCCGCGTGTGGATTTTTCTAAGAGAAGACACAAGTATGATTTTTCTAAGTAACTGTGTATATAAGAGAAGACACAACTAGATTCAAGATGGATTTTGTGAAGAATAAATGATATAAATATATTGAAAATCAGGAGTCTTAGGCTTCATTTGAAATGAGAGAGACATTCACGGAATTTCTTTGAATAGTTGCATTCGTCGAAATGGAGGAAACGAGCTACAATATGAAACGACATTTTTGTGAAAGAACTTTGGAAGACTTCACCGCCTCCTCAAAAAAATCCTTAGAAGGAAGAAGATCAATCATGTAGGTTTAATTGCACTGGGAGTTCCGGCAATGTTAATGCCTAAATGAGACTATGGAGAGTGGGAATTTAACATAGAAGGGAAGGATGTGACAAAATGTTGATTATGATTAGTTAAGATGATTTTAGGTGCTGAATATGCAAAATAATAAATATTAAACATCGAATATATATATAAAAAAATGTAAATGTTATACATGTAAATATCCTAATAATAAATAAATCAACTGAAATTGGTAAAATTCAATTTTAGCGAGTCTGTCCCGCTCCGTAAACGGCCGTTGGCTGTTTAGCCAACGACGTTAGGCGGGAGACGTGTGAGCTGCAACGGATAGACTGTTGGCGTGGTCAATGGTACAGAAATGGGGTTTAAGCAAAGGCGTGGCTTTCTGGGTTTTGGCGATCTCGTTGGATAGGGAGAGAGCAAAGGGAGGAGAGAGAATCGACAAGGGAGAAGGGATGGTGGGGAATTACAACTAAGCAAATGTTCGAAAGAAAATTCTGTTCTCGAATTTGAGATCCGGGAGGAACAAAGAGCATGCATAAGATTTGGAGCCGGAATCTTACAGACGCTTCTCAATTCCAAGATCTTCTTGATTCCGTAGCTCGCCGGATTCTGAGCTTTCTCCGACGAGCAGCTCTGTCGAGAATTTAGGGAATCCGATGCGTTTCTAGCGCAAGTTGGTCTTTGTGAGGAGAGCCGGACGGTTGTCCGCGAGAATTTCATCGAAAGGTTTTTAATGATAGGTTTGGATACAATTTGCCAGTATTTCGGCGACGTTCCTGGTTTTGGCTGGTTTTTCTTCGATTCTTTCTTTCGTTGGTTCCATGGTTGCACGGGAATTGCTCATGTAGGAGAAGCAAATCATATACCTGAGGCTAATGGTTTTCCCCGACTTAAACTCCATATATATTGATGCTTTAATTGGAGGATCAATAGAAATTTTACAAACTTTCATGATCAGGCTTATAGGCTTCTTCTTGTGGACCTAATTCCCTTTTTTTTAAAACTTGTGGATTCCTTCAAGTCACAAATTTGTGCTATACTTGAGGGATTTCTGGCAGATCAAGCTTCCTTTATCTTTGCCAGGTTTTTTTTTTTTTTTTTTTTTTTTTGTATTTTATGGGCGCAGAGATTCTTTTTTGCAGAACCAGGGGGTATGTAATCTAGGCTGAATCTTCAAACTTTGGAAAGTTTTTAAAGGTAAGATATTTTATCCGCTGTCGCTGGAATTTCTGCATATGGTAGTAGCTGTCGAGTTTTAGGGAGGCTTTAGGTTCTTTATTAAAGGTCCTTTTTATCATCATCAAACAACATACCAAGCAGCATTGGTGAAGGTTTTCTGTCTGAAGTTTTGTAGCATGCGCTTGTGTTGCCACTTTTCCTACCTTGTAGTTGGTTTTCCTGTGAAATTTTATGTGCTTTTATAAGATGAGCATGATTATAACCCATTCTGAAGAATTTCTTAAACTTTTCAGCTTCCTGTCTGCAACTACTTCTAGTTTTGCAGATTTATTTATTTATTATTTTTTTTGAGTGTATGTATACTAAGCCAATCCTCTTATCGGATCTATTATTATAACATTTTCAGCCTTGTCCTTAGCCCGTACTGTTTGGTCAAATATTATTAATCAAAATTGCATATTTACTCAACAGTGCCAACTTAGCTATGTTACAGGCGCATTCCTTCAGCTGCTTAATAGATTATGGTCTTTATATATTTTTTCACCTGTAGTTTCATTTCTGGGTCTGAAAAAATGATTCTATTTGCAGTTTTGATAGCAAATATTGCAACTTCTGCTGTATATCTTTTTAACATGAGTATCTAAGATATGGTGTTGCGGAAGAGACTGGACTATAGAATTAATGGCTATCATTTTCCTTCATTTCCTCAAATCCCATTATCTGCAAAGGTATAAAATCACAAGCTATATGCTTTGTTAATTATATCAAAGTTATTTCAAGCCGTCCTGATTAAAATGGCTATTTTTTTAAGGGCAAGCGATCTGTTAGAAAGAGAAATGTGGAAAATCGCATGTGTGCATTCGACTTGCTTGCAGCTGTGGCAGGGAAGTTACTTGAAAGAGATAAATCCTCATCTACTAGCGAAGTTCCAGGATCCTCAATGACTCTGAAACTGTCTGGAACTTCTTTAGTTTCCTTTTGTTCTGGCGTGTCAAATGAGGCGATTATGGAAGAAAGAGGATCTTCACTTTCTGCTAAAGTAAGTATAGGAGATAATGTAGCTGAAAATTGTAAGACAACTCATTCACTTGAGGAAACTGTAGTTGATGGAAATTCTTCAGACTCTTATAACTTGAATGGTTCATTTGAATCTGATGTTAAGCCTCCTTTACTTGAGCCTGAGAGCAGCATGGAGGTTCACATTTCTAGAGATGGTGATCCTTACACTAGTTCTTTCCCCCATTCCTGGGATGGTTTGGAACTACCTGTACATAGTGATGATGACGAAAACTCTTCCCGGTGCACTCATCCTTGCACCACTACTATTAAGGCTTCAAAGCCTAATATAGGAGAACATAGGTTAGGAAAGGTTTTGGCAAGCAGGCACTGGAAAGTGGATTTGGGTGCTGCAAAACATGCTGAGCTTTCTCAAACTGGTATGTCTTGATTTTCTCCTTCCACAAGGACCTCAAAACGCTGTCAATTCTAATGCATTTTTGTTATTTCTTGGAGAAAAATTATAGTCTTTGTTATCTTAATAGCTATTGTGATACTTGGAATTCATGATTGAGTATATTTAAGAAAACCAAGCATGCCATTGCATAAACTCAAGAATGAAAAAAAAAATAGACTTATTTTTATGCAAGATTTTAAAATCAATGGCGAAGTGAACAAAGAGAGATCCCTGGTTAGAATTTGGTGGATGGAGGAAGTAAGAAGAGTACTTGAGTAAGAAGCTTGGGAAATTCGAGAAAAAAAAATATAAGAATTCATAATTTAACCTTCGTTCGTGAAATTATTCTACAACCATCTGAATTTTGTAAGAAATTCATTTAGTTTATTTTTTGATGTAAAAACTATAATGCCCATATGATGATTGGTTATTAAATTTCTTTAGGTTATTTAACCTACATTTTATTCATAGTTGCATTATTTTTAGTTTTTATTTATTATTAAGATGCTTACATGATGTTCATAATTTAATGTTTAGTTTAGGAACATTAGTAAAAATTTTGTTAGCATAGTAACTTTAAAAAATAGTTATGTGTGTGCACGCACAGACAAAAAGTTATGCGCGTGCATGCTATAGTGAGTAATAGTTTAAGTTTATATCTTCGATGTATTCATGGTTTTAGAACAAGGTGGAGGAAGGAACAGAGAAGAGTTATTGAGGGAAAACTAGGGAGTGAAAACTTGGGAAAATTCTTAAAAGAATTTTAAGAATATAAGGATTTATAAGTTGTCCTTCATTCATGAATTTGTACTATGGTGATGATTAGTTATTGCATTTAGTTAGCTATTTTAAAGTATATTTTATGCATATTGTGCTATTTCATTTTATTGCAATTATTATGATGCTCATATAATCTTCATAATTAAATGTTATATTTCAGAAGATAAATGGATGTTTTCTATCAAATAAATTTTGTTAGCAAAAATATTGTCCTATGCTTCTAAGTTAAAATGTGTTTGTGCAAGATTGGACTTAGCAGCTACTTTAATAAGGGCTTTTATGTTCGAACACATGCTGTATGAATATGAGGGAGTCATCGACTCTATATAAATGTGATTGGAGGGTCCCAATGACATATTGCTTGCTTTTTTATAAGATTTAGTTTGGTCATTGTAGTCCCATTTTGAATTTCTGGTAAGTTGTCCATAAAAATAGTTATATGTGTACTAATTGGTTAAATTTTTCAGTATAAAAATGAATGGGAATTTCCTATCATGTTCATGACTCACTCTATATTTTAAATTATTATTTTCAGATACTTGGACAGGACATGGTGTTCAGTGAAACAAAGAAAATGTTTAGCTGCTCGTAGAATTTTAATATAATCCCTCTTCTTTTATGTACTTTCCTGATTTTACGGCTTATTACAAAATTCTTGATATGTAATATCTCGAAATGTGGGGTTGTATTTCAACTTTTTTCTTATCTATGTATGATGAAAGCTGATACGACATACAAGGTCATAAAAAGGCTCTATGAGTAAACAGAAAATTATCCTATTTTATCTACATGCTAATAAATGCTACTTTTGCTTATCTGGTTGGCAGACGGAGATCCCAAGCGTGGTTTCCGAAGCAGGAAAATTAGTTATAAAGGCCAAAGGACTCCAAGGATTTCATTTGAAAGAAGGAAGCTGTTTAACCGATACTCAATATCAGCATCTCACAAAGGGTTAAATAGAGCTGGTGTTTTCAATATTTTTAAGAAAAATGACTTCTTAGAGGGAATTGGTTCTGCAGCATTGCATGGAGGTACCTTTCTCCCGTCTAAGTTTTTTACTGAACTTGACAGTTTTACATGTCGCATATTAAGCAAAATCAACCCCCCTTTTGCAGTAAAAGGGACACGTTCCATCATTACAGAGCAACTTTCAGCACATAAACCAGAAGATTTACATGGTAAGTTGAGTTTTGATTATTTAACTGTGCTTTATTTTCATTAGACCTTGACTTTTATTAGTTTTTAAAAAAAAAATTTCTTTTACTTGAACAGTAAAACTCAGTATCAAGTCTTTCATAGTTCCTGAGCTTTTCATTGAAATTCCTGAAACTGCTACTGTTGGCTCTTTGAAGGTATGAATAGGTTCCTTGATGAGTTTTGTTTCTGAAAAGTTTGCTTTGAGGTGGGCTGCATGCATGGTCCTTGTGCTAACAGGGTGATAATTATGTAATATAAGCTTCAAAAATCTATCATACCTCTTGTTAACAGGTGATATTTGTAAACTGTTGCAAAAGGATTAACTTTCCAGGATATTCGTTGAAACAATCAGGGGTTTAAAGCTTCTAAGTTGAACTAAATGGCAATTCTAAAACAAAATATCACGGAATTTACTTTTCACTTATACAATTGAAACTCTGTATTGCACCAATTTGTAGTATCTAAATTATTATTTTTACCAGTTATCTTCTTGTGAATGATCTGAGATGCAATGATGCACTCGATATCAAGTAAGGATATGAGTTGACTGAGTAGTATATGAATTTTGAATGCGTGTATCAATCACACGACCAATGAGTTAATTATCAAATAAATTCAATTACTAGTTTACTAACTCCAGGTTTAATTCAAATTATGTTAAATTTTTTTAAAGGTTTTCTAAAAATACTAAAATTTAAAAATTACAACCAAGTGTTTTGGGTTTTCTATAATTGAGAAAAATGCCTTTTTTAAAATGGATCAAGTGAATAATTTCTTTTACTTAATATTGACAATCAGGAACAATTATTCCTTGCTCTATTCCCAGATATAAGAAGCATGGAGCCTCATATTATGGTTAAGTTCCCTTCACCCTATAAAGTTTCTCAGGAATCGACATTCCTCTAAATGATTGCAATCTTCTTATGACAATATTCTTATTTTACCAAATGACTGAGTATTAACCTACTTATTCTTCTAAACTATGTTCGATAGTCCTAGATTACAAGTGCTTTTAATTTCTTTAGTGGCCAACAAGAAAATAAATGAGGTTTGGAAAGTTAACACACCAACATTCATCCAAATAGTCTAAGAAATTTTGATGGAATGAACATGAGTCTTTATATTGCCAAATCAAAGAAGAAAAATTACTTGGGTCCTGTTTAGGATCATTTTTAGCTTTTTATTTTGTTTTTATTTTTAGTTTATTTTGTTTATGGTTTTTTTTGTTTTCCGTTTTATGTTTCTAGAAAACACGTTTAGTACTATTTTGATTTATCTCATTTTCAAAGCAAAAATATGAAACATGTTTGATTGAGTATTTGCAAGTATAATTTGAGTTAAAAAAACGTTAGACATAATCTCTCAAGAAGGCTCTGTATACAAAATTACATGAAATCTTTAGATATAATATTTTCAATAGTCACTGAGTAGAAAATAAATATTACTAATTATTAATAATTTAATATAAGTATTATACATACAAAGGCATAATTATGGTAAAACATATATGAAAATAAAAGAGATTATATATGAAGTTATAGGAAAAGTAGAATATCAGTTATTTAAAGAAACATAAATGATAAAATTTACTCAATCATCACAAAAAAAATTTACCGTCATTTTTTTCTAATTTATAAATATGTTTTATTCATAATAATAAATTAGTTCATTGATCAATCATATAAACATCACAATCATATGCTCTGTAAATGACGACCAGTTCACAGATTCATCAACCCATATGTCCATCTATAACAAGATCATCAGAGCTAAATACTACCACCTTGAAGGTGATAATCGACGGTAATAGAAACGCCCCCTCTCTTCGTGACACCAACGACCACGGCTCCAAAACCGCCTCCATCGCCATCGACAGCTTGCTTCCTTGTGCCAATTTTGATGGCCTTGCATCTGGCATCGTCCGTCTGTTCGCCAGGCTTGCTATCTACAAGGTCTACTGGCAAGGCAACTAGTGCTCTGATGTCAACATTCTAGCAGATGGCGTCGATATCATCTCTATTTCCATCGGCAAGTCGATGTCGAAGCAATTGCTTGAGGACGCGATCCCAATTGGATCGTCCCATGCATTGAAGAAGGCGATACTGACGAGTTGTTCGGCAGGGAACTCGTGGTCGTCGAATGAAGGGGTTCGTGAGTGAGTGCGAGTGGTCGACTCTATTGCAAGCAAGGATTGTTTTGGTGTTTTAAAAATGAGCAAAAACATGTTTTTCCTGTTTTTAGTATTTTAAAAACAAAGGTTCTCTTTCAAAAAAAAATACAGAAATAAAATAAAAAGCAGATAAGCAAACACTGTTTTTATGTTTGTTTCCTATATTTTTTTTTCAAAAATAAAAATTGATCCCAAACAACTCCTTAATCTTACATGTTCTTTAAAGAAAATATACAAGATTTCTTTGATAGAAAAATTCAAAATTTACAAATTAAAGAAAAGTACAACCTGGATTGAACCCCATTCACTCCAAGCCTTCTCTTCTTTATTCTCCTCTTTGATTGCTCTGAATTCTCTTTTAACAAATTACACGCCACAAATGCTCACTTGAAGTTGCCTCCCCTATTGGGGAGATTAATTCACTTCACATTATTGCTTAAAATCTCAGATTTGAAAGATCTGAAGCAAACAATTGTCTTTGGACTCGGCGGCACTAATGTTGGGCACTGGAGCGCTTGGTCCTTAGCACTTTAGTGTCAAACACTATGTATTTTGGACGGAATTTGGCTGCTTCAGGCACTGAGGTTCCCTCCTTTGGCACTTTGGCACTTGCTTGCTTATTTAGCCCATTTTGAGCTCCAAATGTTTTAAGTGTTCGAATTCTTACATATCTACCGCATATAACACCACATTTACCCACGAAAAATATAAAAATAATACAAATAATATAGTAAATCACACTACATATATACACGTAAGTCAACCAACCATATATTGAATTTACTGTGCCACAGAAGTGACTTGTTGTCTTTGTATAAGTATTGCACTGATACATGATGCTCACCTTTTGGGCTTTAATGTATTTTCATATCTTACAATCTTTTTTTCAAGAACTTCTTACTTTGTACTTTCCTTGCCTTAAACTTATTCGTAAGCCTAAAGCACTTGCCAATATGTTGCAGAGGACAGTAATGGAGGCAATAACTACAATTATTGGGAGTGGATTGCGTGTGGGTGTTCTTTTCCAGGGAAAGGATGTCAGTGATGATGATAGAACTTTAATTCAAGCTGGAATCTCTCATGCCAATGAATTGGATGAATTGAGTTTTAGTCTGGAGCCCAATTCTACCTTCCCCTCGGCCTCAAGATATTCAAATTCTAGCAGGCCGCACTTGTTTCTTCCATGTGATAGTACTGAACCACTGAGTAGGTAGTGGCATTATTATTCTAGCTGCATGTATTTTCTAACTGATTGATTTGTAATTGCTCTGAACACACCACCACCCCCCCCACTCCACCCCCCTTCCCCCTTCCTCCTCCCAAGGCACATGTTGTCTTTTAATGGTTTATAGTGCCCACTGCTATAAAGTTTGGACTTGCTTTTAGATCCTACCATGTAAAAACATGATCTGAGGGAATTCACATGTTCTGGCTGGTGCATTTGTGAACTCCCAGCAAGTAAACATTTTAATACAACATTCTGAAGTCTTCGTATGTCTTAATATGAGTTAATGATGATGACAGTCCTGCATAAACTTGACTATAAAAACCGCTGCAGCTGCGACAGTACATAATCAAACTCAATACTCATCCATCAGCACATAATCAAACTCAATACTCGCTGTCACACCTCTGCTGCTGTAACAAACTGCTGTAACTAAACGATCTATATATACGTCATTCTATTTACTTTACAGAATATAATACACATCATACTAATATAGAATTATCATCTAGAATTATATAGACTAGTGGGATTTTCTCTACTGCAACTCCTGGCAAATTATCATTTTGAATTATATATTAACCAAAACAATTTCCGTGTATTTCATCTAATTCTGTCAAATACCTTCATCTAAATACGTCTCTAGAATTTTAGGACTTATCTACTCTGATGTATGGGGAACTTCCCCAATGTCTTCACCTCATGACTATAACTAGATAATATTTGTGGACCTCTCGATATTGCTAGTTGTGTTTATTAAATAGAAATTGGACTCGACAACTATTTTTTTGGGAAATTTGAGTGAATTAAATTGCTAACATACATACCACTTATACAAGGTCCTGAACTCAGGACCTCTTGGTTAAATGACTAAACTCCATCAACTTTAAAGTAATAGTGGAAAAATAGTTCCAAAAACCTATTGAAATCCTTAGAATCGATAGGGGTAGGGAATACCCTACTAACCTACTTACCACATACCTTAAAAAACACTGTTTCATCAATACAATTGTCCCTACACATTAGAGCTGAATGGCTGTGTTGAATACAAATATAGACACATTCTAAAAGTTTCATGAGCACTATGAAACAAAAAGCCTTCCTCCAACGCTCTGTCCAACCTTATTAATATACTTACCTCACGCTCACCAAAGGTCACCAAAGGTAGATCACACTTCTAACTTCCACACGTAAACAACCACAATTTAACTACCGCAATACACTACGATGCCATTGCTTTCCCTGGCTCAAACTGATAGCTCCTAAAAAACTCTCTCCAAGACCCTTACCATGTGTCTTCATGGGATATTTAAATTTTAATAAAAGCTACAAATGCCAGGATCCTACCACAGGCCAAGCCTACATCTTACGCAACATCTGAATCCTCAAATCCATTTTTCCCTACCAAATCACCATCACAAAACCACCACAATCAACCATCAATTCAAATCTATACGCCTCTCCGTTCACTCATCCTCATTGCAAATTCTACCTATCATCCCGCTCCTACACCAGTGACCTCATCAACCATTGTCCACACCCATCCAACTGATACATCACCATCATCTTTTCAAAACACTACCACACACCCAACCCTATCAGCCACTCCACAAGAACTCCCCTCATATCAACCCTTTCCCCACCCCTTGATAAATCAACTAAAACTCAGACCAAAACAAAATGTTGATCTCTACCACATTAATACAGCCCCAAGCCAAGTCCAGGTCTACTACTCCACTGCTGTAGAGGATCTCCTCTGGCTTTGAAGTATGTCAAAGGAGTTTCAAGCTATCATATCACAAGGAACATGGGTCGTCTTCCCCCTTTCCCTAGATTAGAACATCTTTGGCTGCAAGTAGACCTACAAAATAAAGCTAAACTCATATAACACGATTGCATGGCATTAGGTGTGTTTAGTAGCTCAGCGCTATAAATAACAACATTCACCAGACCATAATTAAACATTCAACTCAGAACCTTTCTCACTATCGCAATCAATAAAAGCTACTCAATTGCCCAACTTGGTGTCTCCAATGCTTTCTTGCATGGTGCTCTCAACGAAACATGTCCCAACAATAAGATATTCAGAATCCCAACGAAACATATCTGTTGACTTCCCTCATCAAGCTGTCCAACAGATTTTTTAAAGATTTTAAACATTTTTTAGGTTGATTCAGTTGCTATTTCTCATTGGATTTGTTTGTTCTAAGGGGCTGGATATTCGCAAGGTGGAGATTTTGTTCGACATATGTATTTCTCCTAAGGGGCTGAATATTCGTCAAGGTGGAGATTTGTTGGGCATATGTATTTCTCCTAAGGGGTCGAATATTCGCCAACGTGGAGATTTGTTGAGCATATGTATTTCTCCTAAGAGGCTGGATATTCGTCAAGGTGGAGATTTGTTATGTATGACTCGTATACCATAAATGGGACAGATGTTGGAGCGAAGCCCATGAGCAGAGTGAGGTGGAATGATTTGTCCAATCGGGGGAGTCTCATTATGTGGGTTGAGGTGCGAGGGTAACACCCCGTGGTTTGGTACATGGGTAATTTAAGTAATTACATATTGTACTATAGGATTATATATGTCTTGTTTGTAATCCTAGGTGAGTCTCCAAGATTTTGGGATCCCTGAATCCTGAATTCTGTACTTTTTTCTGAATTAGTGAAAAACCGTTGCTCTGCTCCTGATGACGTAGGCATCTTTGTCGAACCTCGTTAAATCTCTGTGTTCTTCTGGATATGTGTCGTTTTTATTTTATTCGTCGTAATTTCTCAACAAGATCATACATTGCACAATTGGTTAGTGTTGTGGGCAAGTTCTTGCAGATCAAAGACGAAGTCATTGGCTGACTATGAAGAGTATCCTGAGGCATCTGAAGGGTAAAATCGATGATGCTGAATATTGAAAAGGAGGTCGCCGCTCTGCTCCCGAGGATGTAGGCATCTTTGCCGAACCTCGTTAAATCTCCGTGTTCTTCTGGATTTGTGTCGATTCTTTTTTTTCTTCGCCCTATTTTTCTCAACACTTTTCAAGCCTTTTCTAACTCCAAATAGTCCGGCGACCCAAGAAACTGCAAGTTGAACACAAGTTAATGTTTTTCTAGGCCGCACTCTTATCTCATGGTACACTAAAAAGTAAAAAACCGCCAACCACTTCTCAGCAGTACCATGCTCGCTCAATTTTAGTAATCGACATCATCTGTCTCAGACGCCTACTTCAATACTTCTGCATTCCTCTCCCCACTCTCACTTCCTTTTATTGTTACAGCATCCTTTCTCTTGCCTTAGCCAACAATCTAGCTCTTTTTCCCCACACAAAACATTGGTTGACTTTCACTTCATCCATGAATGTATCAATAATAACCACATCATAGTTCATCAAATATCAAAAATAGATCCGATCGCTAACATCTTCACCAATGCTTTTCCCAACAGCAAGTTCAACTTCATGACAAGTTGACACTACACGACCAGACCCTCAACTTGAGGAAATCTGCATAAACCAAACTACCGGAACCAGTATAGCTACAACAGTAACAACCCAAAGTAATCTCATCCATCAACACATAACTAACTCAATCTTCACGGTCACGCCTCTGCCGCTATAACAAACGCCTGTACCTGAACAATCTATACGTACCTCATACTATACACTGTACAGAATATAATACAGTGTTTTATTCTCTGTTTCTTTCTCTATTCTCCCATCTCCACTCTTTCACCACCTACAGCTTAGGCTTCTACAAATGACAACTACATTTCCATACTTGAGTATCGCCTTATTATACTCGTTACTCCTAAATTGGATTATTTACTTTTTTTAACGAAATAAAACCACTTTCTCATGGCATTTGTGGAGTTTTTTAATCAGTACCATTATTTTTACACTGATATAGCTTTTAGTTAGGCATCCGTTTATCTCTTTCATTCTAATGTTTGGTTTTACATTTTAGGCTTCCAGCTGCTCTTTCTTTTGATCAGGGAAGAAATGATTCCAGTTCATATCATGCGTTGACTTCTGCAATAATCTGTCACGAAAGTAATGTCAACTCAGATTCACCTTCAGCAGATAGAATAGAATCTGTGCAGGCACTTTCTGCTAGGCCAGCGATAACTGCTGAGGTACTCTCTGTTGTTCCTGCGGATAAGCTTAAACGGTCTGAGCTTGTGCAGCGAAGAATAAGGAGGCCTTTCACTGTATCGGAAGTGGAGACACTTGTGAAGACGGTTGAAAAGCTTGGAACTGGAAGGTCCGATGCTTCTCTCTTTCTCCTTTAGCATCCATTTTTATCAGTTTTTTTTTTTATTATTATTCTTAAACAATTTCATGTAGGTGGAGAGATGTTAAGATTCAGTCTTTTGATGATGCAAAATATCGCACTTATGTTGATTTGAAGGTGAGTTGAGGATATCTTTGAAGTCCTATGTTATTGGTATTTTAAACTTAGAATACCATTTTTTAGTGATCTCTTCCTTCTTCCGGGTTTCATATAGCTTTATTTTCTAGCAAGCTGCCGCAATCATATTTGGTTATAACTTTATTGCTGCTTTGCAGAACTTTTTGTGGTGTAAAATGATTTCATACAATTAAATCCATTAGGAGCTGTCTGGCAATGGATGAGATTTAAGTTATTAGGATTTAGTTAATCTCATAAATCTGAATTACTAAATCCTGGAGGGGTTAAATCTGAAAAACTGTCCGGCGATAGATTTATTAAATTCCCAAAATTCTGCGAAACTGTTTGGCAAGTTCTACCGGGATTTAAAACGGTCACATCTTTTGGGCTGTTGGAATGAAAAAAAAAAAAAAAAAAACTCGAATTTGACAAGATTTAGCTTACAACCCGCTTAAATCCCGGGATAAATCTGTTGCCAGACAGCCCCTTAGTGTGTTGAGCTTAAGAAATCTATTTTTGGCCTTCAAAAGAAAAAAATATCTATAATACTAGTAGAAACCTTTAAAATCCTTTTTCTTTCACAAGAACTCAACAACTACTTTTACAAAGAGCTGCGAACACTTCCAATATACACCAATTTGCTTTCATTGAATAATTTCACCCTTAGTCCTGTCCCATAATATTTGTAATATCAGAAGTTAATATAGCAGTGTCTCATTAAAAACATTGGACGGTTATTCCATCCTGTTCTTCGAGCGGGGCATTTACATAAATACCAACACCTAAAATTTTCCTTTTACATTTATACCACCCGGGCCGTCCGGCAAATCTGCTGAAATCGCCAACCTTCCTTTCCTCAAAACCAAGTATTTATCGCATGTTCGTGCAGGACAAGTGGAAGACATTAGTGCACACAGCGAGAATCTCTCCTCACCACAGAAGGGGAGAACCCGTCCCTCAAGAACTACTGGACCGGGTTCTTCGTGCCCATGCTTACTGGTCCCACCAGCAGGCCAGCCTTCAGCCCAAGTCACCTTCAGCTGAACCTTGCCTTGGACCCTAACAACAGATTGTGCGATCCCTGTACAAAATTCAGGTAAATATTAATTTGAAATAATCGGTTAATGCAATTTGGCTTATGTTTCTGTAATATTCTTATAATTCCTGAAAGCCAGGCTTCCTGCTCTCTGTGAATTCTCTACTGGAGAGGGCTTTCATGTTGCTTGTACTTGAAATCAGTCTGCTATTGCTTGCAGCCTCATCAAAGTTTGAATTTGTTTGATTGATTTACTAAATTGTTCATTTTAACAAGACTGAATAATGGGGGATGTTTAATTTTTCAAATTTTATGTCGTAATAACGGTTGAAGTTAAATTTGGAGAATTTGATGTACTCTGCTTGTTGCTTTCATTGAACTGATTCGAACCTAATGTGAGTTGGTAAAATTTTCTTGTGATTACGGTTCGTACACTACTTTTTCTTCGAGTGGGAATTACTTCAGAAAAACTTTCACAATGTTATATCAATTTGAGGTACGATGATTTAGGAGTATAACTTAATAGGGAAATTTACATGCCACAATTCTTATGTATTAACAAACTCAACATCCACAGTTTGATATTTACACTTATAATACTTTGGTGTCATAAATTTATACATGGAAAAAGTGAATTTCATTTTTTTAATAGTCATCTTGGAATTATTGATGTGATGTTATAAATTTGAGTGGCATGCATGTAAATATGAATATTTTGTTGTTAGATAGGTTGTGTATGCAAATGCACTACTTTTTTTTATGTAATTAATGTGGTTCGGTATATTTTCATGTAAAATAAATTATGAATAAGTTTTTTTTTCTTTTTTTTTTATTGAACATGTAATTGTAGACTTTCACTTTGATTTATAATGAAATGATAGTTAATATTTGATAACTGATAAGGTTTTTTTAAGCAAAGAACATTAGTAAAAACATGTTAATTTAACAAAATTAAATTTTTTTCTTTCAGCTAAAGGTAACAAAATTAAATTAGCAAATAACAAAGTATTAAATGAGAGAAAAATTAAGTCTTATATTTGTTGGGTAATGTGGAGACCCGGTCCACCGAATTTAATTGGCTTCTTAATTAAGTATTTTAGCTACCGCCCCCCTACCTACCTCCCACCTACCGCTCACCTACCTCCCACCAACCGCTCTCATGGTTTTTATAAATAGTCACTTTTGTTTTGAAGGAAAGCCAAGCGAAGCAAGTCCAAGCCAAGTCATCTTGAGAGTTCCGAGTCCTCTAAGAGAGAAAGAGAAAAAGAGAGAGAGGAAGGGAGATAATAAAATAGAGATTTTTTTGTATTTTCTTTTAAACGTCGAGACGCTCGACGATGTAATTTCTCGAAGTAGTAAAATCCTCTGCAGCTCCGTCGACGTAGGCAAATTTGTCGAACCACGTAAATCTGTGTCGCTCTGGTATTTTTTTTTTCTACGTGCAATTTTCTTATTCCATTTTTCGTTTTATTGCCGTCGTTTTTCATAACAACTGGTATCAGAGCCCCGGTTCGAATCTGATGAAGAACGATGGCCGGAGACGAAGTGAAGGTTTTCGGGATCAAGAAGTTCGACGGCACGGATTTTGGATACTGGAGGATGCAGATAGAGGATTACCTCTATGGGAAGAAACTTCATCTTCCACTACTGGGAAAGCGACCGAAGAAGATGGAAGAGGCTGATTGGAATCTGTTAGATCGATAGGTTCTGGGGTTATTCGATTAACTCTATCAAGTTCTGTTGCTCACAATGTCATAAAGGAGACGACGACGACAGATCTTATGGCGGCCTTATCAGGTATGTATGAAAAGCCATCGACGAATAACAAAGTGCACTTGATGAAAAAGTAATTCAACCTTAAGATGGCGGAAGGTGTGTTTGTTGTTCAACATCTGAATGATTTTAACACCATCACAAATCAATTGTCGTCTGTTGAAATTGATTTTGACGATGAGATATGTGTGCTGATATTGTTGGCTTCATTGTCAAATAGTTGGGAAGCCATGAGGATGACAGTTAGCAACTCTGCATGTAAAATCAAGTTGAAATATGATGATATTCGTGACTTGATTCTTGCTGAAGAAGTGCGCAGGAAAGATTCTAGCGAGACCTCGGATTTGAGTTCAGCACTGAATGTTGATTCCAGAGGGAGATCACAAGACATGAACTCAAATAGAGGAAGGTTGAAATCAAAGCATAGAAGCAAGAGCAAGTCAAAGTCTGGTCAGCAAGCAACCTGCTGGAATTGTGGCAAAACT